TGACACACCTGGGGATGAAGCTGCTTTGTTACCTTATTCCATTATGAATTAAGGCAATTTTCAGGCCACCCATTCATCTCTTCTGCAGCAAAAGACGCTGAGCTGTCAACTTCACTCTCTGTACACCCGGCCCTCTTGTCCACGTTTACACATACAGTATGTGTGTATCCCATATGAACAGAGAATAAATGTGTCATATGTGTGTGTGAGTATCCACGTACTATATCAGGTGTTAACTAACAGTTCAGCCCCGTCCTACCTTACAGTCTGTTCAGCTCCAGTGATTTCGTTGTCCGGGTATACGTGCACATACGGACACACACTGGTGGTATACGTCCTTGAGAGAAGAGGACGACTGCTGGGTTCACTGGAAATGTGACTGATGTGGTCAGGATGAGGGTTACATCCCCTCAGCTTACCCGGGTATTATCTTACACTGTTGAGCTGTCTGTCTATCACCTGGGAGCATTCAGGTGACACATATAACTGGATCAATTTTCCTTAGCTATAAAAGACTTTCATGGGCTAGCGGTCACTGATCAGCCCCCCACACCCTGCTACCCATGTGTAGACACTGGGTAGCAGGGTGTGTTCACTGTGTTGGAAATTTAACTCTTCCCCTGTCCTATCTCACTTTGCTCATCTCTTCTTTCAGCGGCCAGTGGTTGTCTGTATTCTTCCCACTCCCCCTTCCACCTCTCTGGGGCTGACTGGCTTTCAGCTAGAAGTGAGGGTGAATGAGCAAAGCAGAATGAAGAGTTGAGAGAGGAAAATAAGGGAATGGGGAGAGATGGGAAGACCCCGGCAGAATGTCTGTCACTTAAACTGTACAATAAATGAAGGTCGGGTGATTGATTAGTTGCAACATGTCATTTTTCATATGTTCATACAACATGCATTATTAGGCATGTGCGCTTTGAAACACGTACAAGGAAAAGAGGATAGCATGTAGTTAAACATGGCCGTCATGCATCTGCACCGGCTCCTCTCTCTGTAGGACACCTTCCATGTAGCAGCTGCCTCAGTGGTTAACTTGTGTCTTGGAGCAAATAGCGACTTCCATTGTCCACAATTATCTCTCAGCAGCTTTTCCGTCCACTGGGCTGCTGTGTGTAAACACACACACACACACACACCATGTTGTAACACCTGCCTCAGTCCTCTGTCATGTTGTTCTGTAACTAAGCAGCTTGTTAATGCCCTGCTGAGGAAGTGTTTGTTATATCCCTTTAAAAGCTTTTATGGGCTGTCATCAAAGACTAGATGGTCTAATTGCCAGGATTAGGTTGAAGGTGGAGAGGAAAATGTGAAGCTGTGCATTCATGAGTAATTGTCTTCTTGGCTTATACAAAGATTTCCATAGGAATTTACAGTAGTTACCAGTGTGGATGGAATTATCTTTTTTGAGGTGCTTGATATTCCCATTCCCTTCATGCTCACATATACCAAGAATTTAATAGGTGCATTATTTTGTTGGAATTTCACCCTGCACTGATTTGATCAGGTGTGTTGGCAAGCCATTAGCAACTGTTTCCAAGTAAGGAATTGTTTTCCAAATGAAATTATGGAGGATAATTGGCTCTTGGGTAGGTAGTGCTAAAAACACACAGTCTGATGCCGCCCACAGACCTGATTGTTTGCACAGTCTCACACAGAGGTCCTCTTAACTTAGCATCTGTGACATCTAAGATTGACCATTAGCCAATGTGAGCTGTGAGATGTCTTGCATAAGTAGCCATCCGAGTCTTCTGGCGGCTTGCTGGTGAGTTATTTCAAGTAATTAAAGCTGATGACATCATTTAGGCATGGGGAATGTGCAGAGGTGACAGAATGCTAGAGCCTAGCACTGGCTTTGGAGCATATGTACACAGTTCAGTACGTTTCACTGCAGATTAGGTGGTGCTTAGGTGTCAAACACAGCAAATGGACAGCATGTGACACATGATGGATAAAGAATAAGTGGTACCGGAGTTGTTTGAGAAGACTGCAAGCTGTGCACTGTGCAGAGTTGAGATTTGACATGCCATGACCAGTGGAGATTGGTCCCTGAGCAGCAGCAGGCTCATAACACACCATGCCATAAGTCAATCAGTAAATCAATACATGGCAGCCAGTTCTCACTTCTTTTTTCACTGTGACAATGAGCAGAAAACGCTTGTCTGAATGTGTAACACATGATGTGGCTGAACTTTGGATGCTATATCATCTAAATGGAAAAAACGTTTTTTGGAATAACATTACTCATAGATGTTTTAAATATAAGTGTTGTTCTTGGCTTTGCAGTCTTTCCCTTTCTGCAGTGTGGACACAGTATCATGCTAAGTATAGCCTATGTGTAATTGAGAAGAAATATATTGCCATGGGTTTATCACTCAGCTGTGCTTTGATATGCCTCATTCTAGTTAACTGCGGATGTTTGGAGACGTTCTTTTCTGCACACTAGGTCACAGTATGGGGAGTTTCTGTTTTTGTTGGATTTCCATTGCCATTTCTAGGCAGAAAATAAGTGTTTTATCGAGTAGAGTAGACAAGTAGGCATTTAACCAGCTGTAGCGTCTTGCCAAACTAAAGTGAGTCTTTTGAGTGTGTGTACATTTAGTCAGTTTGTTGCAGTTACTATTGAAAGAGAGCACCTGTTGTCTTCTGTGGCAATCTAATCAACAGAAATACAGTAACAAGGTGCCTCCGCAACACATGGCTGTGGTTGTTTAGAAGAGCAGCTAGTCACATTTTAAATTACACTAATGCCCATGGGAGTTAATCACTTACTCGGAAAGTCTTTTTTTTTTTTTAATTATTTACAGCTTTGGCATAATGTGTTTTGTAATTGTTTCTATACATATATTTCATTCCTGTTGCACATTTATGAATGTGTGTTTGATGAGAGCTTTTCAGATTTAAGACATGACACTGTTATTAATGGGTGTTTACTTTGTACACCTTCAGCTCACAGTTATTGCACAATAAGTTAAACCTAGAGGTGCTTATTGACCCATACAGGCACATTATTCTGTAACTGTATTGCTGCAGCTTGAATTCACTGCCAGAATGAAAATGGTTGCTTGGCAGAGACCTAGCTTCAGTAAATATCCCACTTCACAGCATCTACAATTCGACAAATGCTGTTCCTCCTCCGCAGTAACACTGACTAGAGGATGGAGTCTCTCTTGGCAATTCATGGACACTTTTTATAGTCGTTTGAGTCATGAACACAGGCCCCTCCTATGATTTGATGCTGTATGTCTGACTTGTCATAGATAAGGAAGAGCCACTAATCCTAGCAAAACATGCCTTAATACCAAGGTCCATTGCCCAGCGTGATGTTGATCCTGACTGGTTCTGAAGCTCTGCAGGTCTGTGCGCTGTAAAGTAAAGGTTTGCCATCAATTAAAATCACTTTTAAATTTTAAATGGAATATATATATATATAGGACAGGAATTACAGCCCTAATTTACCTAAGTGTTCCTTGTGTAGAAACAAATTTATAGCCTTTTGACTCTGGCAAAAACTCAAATAGTTAAATAATCCAAGGCCTTTCCTTGCCTGTCAAATGTGATTTACCAAGACTGAAAACTGTTTAAGGAAAAGTAATTATGTGTGTAATAACATGTAGAGAGAATGGGTATTAAACAGACATCCATTCACAGATTGGAGCACTGAGCATAAAGTGTGACATAGATCTGTCATTAGAGAAGTATTGCTATATCAGGGATTCCTGTGCTAGCCTTCTAAGTATAGACTGTTTCAGTGATGACTGTAGATTAGTCAATGTAAAACTTGTGTTTACTGGTCGCACTGTGGCTTAATGTCACAGCTGGAATCCACTTCTAGTCTTTATGCTAAGCAAAGTAAAGGGCTGCTGACTGTAGCTTTGTATTTATCATTACAGACATGAGAGTGGAATCAATCTTCTCATCTAACATCAGCAAGAAAGCAAATTAGTGCATTTCACAAACCGTTGTTGTTCTAGTGCAGCAGTAAAAGAAATGATTTTGTATGTTTTATTATTTGTACCTGCTGTCTTCCACACATTCAAACTCAGGTTATCACATCATGTTTGGTTTCCCAGTAAATCACGTTCTAATGCTTTAGTGTCATGGTTATGAAAACATAATCTTTGACCTTTCTGGTTGTTATTGCTTGCTGCCAAGAGCAGGTTTGTGGAGTGTTCAAGTGCTAAGCAGCTCGTATTGTTAAAAGGTATTGTATTTCAGACCGCCCCTCCAAAGGCTAAACAAACCCACAATCTCACGTCTAATATGAGTAGTAAATGGCTGTGCTAGTTGTTGAAGAGTATGGGCACAGTCAAGGTCCTTTCAGTGTTTATAATGGAAGTGCGTCCCACTTTATCTCCATCTAATCTTTCCTCAGTGCTGGGAGGCAGAGAACATCTGAGTGTGCACTAACTTTGAAGGTGAAAGTATTTTAGTCATCCCAGTGTACTGTGACTCTCCCTCATACAACTACCTACACAAACACACAGTAGAAAGTGCCACTCCCTTTGCCCAAAAAAATCAAACAAAGCTCACATCCGCACATGTTAGAACAGCCATATTTTTCACTTGTCCTCAAATATTATTGCAGTCATCTTGTAAGCAACCTAAATCAGAGATAGTGGCCAAATAACGTCCTGCTAATTCGGGTCTAGGTGTGACGCAGCTGCAGGCCGGTCAGCACAGATTTCCTCACCCACGTTTCCCTCACATGATATTTCTACCGTCTTGCACACACAACTCAGACTGTGAGGCGTTTGAATTGCAGCACAAAGGAAATTACCCAAGCTTGTGATAAGAAAAGAAAAGAAAATACAACTACCACTTTCACGCATCATTATTTTAAACCTCTTTTTAGTTCATAGTATCTACTGTAGCTCCTGTTTTGAAAATAGGATGAGGTTTGCCTTTTTCTATGTGTACTATGGTAATCTCTTTGTTTCCACTTTGAGCTAATGATGATGCTCCCTAGCTTAACATTTATCGGTCTGTGTTTTTTTTCTCAGCAGGAGGTACTATCTACTCCTTTCTCTCATCAGACTGTCAGGAGAGCACATGGCCTACAGTCAGCAGCCCACTCCACACTCTTCACCCAGCCTCCCACTGCCCTGTCTCCACAGGTTAGTATGTCTGCATGTTTGTATCTTGGTATTAGAAAGGATATATAAAGCAAATATATCTCTTTTTGGATATCACTGATTTCTGTGCTTAAGGAATAAAACTGCTAAACCCCACATGCAACACAACATATTTTCTGTTGTCAGCCTCAGTCTAGATGCAATTTTAGTTACTAAAACATTTTCTAAATCCCGGTAATCCTCCCTGTTTTGGCTTGGAGCAGCCTGTTGTTCCTATCATTTTCAGTTTACCAGTGATTAGCATGCAAGGCCTGTTTATTGGGGAATCCTTTGAAGACTGAAGAGGTCAGTGGACGGTAGATAAAGGCACCACCATCAGCAATTTATTCAAATGTATTCAAAAATCCCAGTGTTCAGAGCAAAGCTTGCCGTTGGTGTGTCATAGCCATGATTTGCTGACATGAAGCAGCGCACACTGCCATATGGAGTCAGTTTCCCATCAAACTTTAATACGGTCTGCAGATCAACACTTTGACAACTATGTATTGGATTATAAACACTAGCAAGCTTTTGCAAATGCTATATGCCATGTAGCAGTGGAGATCAGTGACAGCTGTAGTGACAAGCTGCTTTGATGTGCAAGCAAACTTATCAAATGTTTTCCAGCAAGTCGCTGCTGTGTATGCAAAACAGAAGCATAATAGTTGTGTGTGTGTGTGTGTGTGTGTGTGTGTGTGTGTGCTTGCAATGAAAGTATTGCAAATAATGCTTACTGCCACATGGGGAGGTTTTTTTTAATTTGATTTAAATAAATTATTATAATATACTCAATTGATTTCCACTTGTTTAATGTGTAATCTAAACAGCAATCCATTTGATTTTAGTGCCGATCTGGATCATCAGCCTAATCCAGGAAATGTTTAAAATGATTCTTCACCATTGTGAGATAGGGCCAATTTCAATATTTTTTGCTTCTGTACATAATGCCTACAATGCTTGGACAAAATTGCACGACAACAGCCACACAAGATCTGCCACACACCGAAGTATTATCTGGATCCAAGATCCAATATTCAGTATAATATAATATCCAATATTCCAGAATGTTCACATTTATTGGTCTCACAGAAAGCTCACTACTGTGACACAACAAACAATGCTACTGACTTGCGACTAATATCACGTTCCAGCTGAAACTCTGCTGATTCAGTACAGTGTCAGCAGATTTGACATTTCTTCAAAAGTTACTGTGCTAGATCCTGAACAAAACACTGAAAACACTTCAGTCACTGAAGTATTGTTTTGCTTGAATAACTTTCAAACTAATAATGATATCAGTGCAACTCCCAATACAGGTTTTCATGGTCAAGGAATCACATGATGAGGGTCAGACTATCATGCTAGGTATTGCGTTTAGGTGTAATGGCATTATGGAGACATTGAGATGCCTTGGTGGAGGTGTGTGTTCTCTGAGTGCTGTCTAGTTTCAAGTATTCATTCATTTAGGGACCAAAAGTCAGGTGGCTGCTGTTCAGACGGTGAAATGGGTTGTCCACTCATCGCTGGTCAGTATTTCAAACTAAAATATGTTTCTGAAGTACATCCTAGTTTAGAGTCTCTATGTTTTCTTGTTTTTATCTTAAAACATAATTGAAGAGAAACGTATGAGCACTGCATCAACTGCGTGATCTCCCTCATTAGTTTTGCTTCTCCTGTTCCAGGGGTAATTTCTAATAAATTGATCTTAGCTGCTGCTCCATATTTCTAGGAGAAACGGTTCAGACTTCAATGCTTTAAAAATAAGAATATGATTTACTTTATTACTAACTAAGGATGGAAGGAAAGGTTGTTGTGAGCAGCACAATTTTGCTCATGGTGTGTTTTTGTGTTGGTGCCTGTTGCTGGGCCCAGTAGAGTAATATCATTGCCAGATTAATTTGTTCCTCAGTAGTAAAATTGAGTAACTGTTGCCAACAGTTTTTGTTGATGTGAAATCCAGGAAGAGTTTGATTTGTTTCATTGTGTTCTTCTGTGGCGTTGTGTTGCAGTAACAGAGTTGCAACAAACTGTTGTGTCAAGGTTTGTGTGGTACACACATGGTGCAAGAGAACACAGAAAAAGTATATTGTATACAAATTGTATACAATAGATTGATCAGAGAGCTCACCTGCCCATTTTCAACCTTGGAAATAGTCATTGACAGTTCATTTAGTAACTGTTCAGCTGCTTTCGATTGTACTACATGAGCTTCATCAGTAGATGAAGTTTGCCCAGTTGCCATGGATTAATGGATGCTCAAATTTCCATTTTTTTCCTGCATTTTATAAGGATTTGTTGACTCAAAGATGAGTTTCTACAGCTACAGTTCGCTAAAAAGGATAATGTGATTTGAGCCCGTGCCTCTGAACAGTTGCTAAATGAACCCTGGGGGCAAATTGTTTTGTCAG